CGAATATATCCATAAGGTATAAATTTTAGGTTTGTTAATAACATATGATTCATATTGGTTATGATGTTATAGATTATTTTAATGATTACTATTAGATTTTATATATCATGATGCTGATATGTTAGTATTGATGATATTGATATTGCATGGTATCGTATATATATATTGTCTTGAAATTTAGTATTTGATGGTGTTAATATTTTCATGATAATATATATTTTATGTGTACACATGTCTCATGAAATCATGTATATCATTTTTGGTTTACATCTTATGAACATATTTGCTTTTCGCTTTTCGTGTTAATATTTATTTTTTCCATCTCTAGTTTTTGTTGTACTGTTAATTGTCCATCAAACAGTTCCAAAGATTGAAAATTACCGTAAAAAAGACTGCGAATTTCCTGCTATATAAATTACCGATCGTACATAAATATTAAATTAATTCTACTTATATATTGATTTTTTTATACATAATTTAAATCAAGCTGAAATGTCGCATGTAAAAGAAAACATAAATCCGAATAATGCCAATCCTTATCATGAAAAAACAGCATAATGATTCAAATCATATTGATGTTCTGCATCTAAATCAACATTATGCTGAGGACTTTTTTTTACAACAGAATCTAACTAGAATTCTACGTCGGTAGGAGAATCGTGTTTCACGATGTAGGCTTATCCCTGTATCTAAACGACAAATGTTAACACCATTCGGGTGTGGGTACATGAATTATGGTGTTTCTCATGTCAAAGATTGACATTATTCTCATTGGTATTTTTTTGTACATGCGGAATGTACTCCTGATTCAAATCATTATGTTGTTCTTCATGACGGACTTTCTTAAATATATTGATTAAAATCTTCCTGAAACTCGTCAACAGGGTGTGGGGTAGTGTGGGCGTGCATATTCTCTTTTTTCACACCCACACCGACAACCCACTCTAGTTTTAAATTTGGAAACCATATCTTTAGTGCCTGTCTATTTTCCGATCGTAATGCTTCATTCAATACACGATATAAAGAAGTCTCATCCCATTCCATTCAATAAATATAAGTAGCAGCTGATTGATCGTGCGATAGCCCATGTTCTGATGGTAAACGACAATATTATTTAGCTAACTTTACAAAACGAGACAGTACATTACTTTGAGGCTCAATAGGTTCTAATGCTTTTTCGATTGAAACAAGTTTTTCAGCTTGATAACCATAAACCGGTGGAATTTTTTAAATGAAATATGGACACCATCAAAACGATTCATCACGCACGTCTTTTATATACTACTGATCGATGATGAACGTATGATTGTTACCAATTCGAAGCAATTGATAAAAATATCTCTGGCTTTTTTGTCTATAGGACATTATTAAAAAAACTGTTATCAGTACCTTCTCTCTACACACAACAATAGAAAAATGGATCGTTTCTTCATTTTTTTTTTCTTATAGCTTGGTCGTAGTACTAACAATCAAACTTTCTATACTGTTTATCAAGAATATTGGCCATGTTCAGGTTGCATTATAACTCTCATCGACCAGCTAACAAATTTAAAAAATTACGTGCCCATATTAACGATGCATCCAGATAGTCGATTTTTAAGTTATTCAGTTTTCGTAAGTGAATATAATGCAGCATGATTCGTTTATTTTTACCAGTGTTCTTCGGCTTGCTAAATATAGGCAAAAGGTTTGATGTTTTATATTTTTATATGATTGAATAGAGCTTTCATTTTTCTATCTAATTATATACGTTTTTTTATCTAATTTAGTGATCATTGTGACCAAAAAAACTAATGAATTTCAACAGTGATTAAAAAATGCTTTTGCATAATGGAAGTTTATATAAACTAAAATATTTCAATAAATATTAATCTTGCTGTAGCATAAATGGCCCTGATTGAAGATCATTATCAAACTTTATCTTCAAAAAGTATAAAATAAAATAATCTTGTAACTGTCAAGAAGCTTCAGTTTTAATTTTTAAGAATTCGTTCACTACTGTTTTCCATTGAAAAATGAAAAAAAAAAACAAGTTTTTCTTCTTATCGTAGAATTTAAAATTTATGACAACCGCTCAGCTAAAAAATGACCGTGTTTGATCAAGAGATGAATAGGATATGGGTGTGGGTGGATGTGAGTGTCGGTGGCATGTCTTCTCATCTGCGAACACAAAATCGAAACCTGTTCAATTCAATTTTAGTGATTTTTAAATATAATTTATTCAAGTTGAAAACAATCTTGGGTCTTAAATTTTCGTTTTTCAAATTTTCAAGAAAATTAGTGATGACAATTTCAATACAACGCATTCTTTCAGTTATATTGTTAAATTTGCTGAAATTTATAGAGTTCGCTAAAGAATGAGTTTCATCATTTCAATTTAATGAACAGAAATTTGTAGAGTGCGCTAAAATATAATAGTGCTTTATTTTCTTCTAAACTAAGTGTGATTTAGAGAGATCACCAGACATGATTGTTACTATGAATCTCATGTGCTGTTTTTGATTTGAACATGCTATCTAATTGGATTATGAAATAGAATTAAACACCCAATACAGACAACTGATTGGGGTGCAAAGGCATTTATATACAAAACTACAAATAAATTATATTCTAAAGCAAATCGTTTTGAAATATGGATGTTGGCGAGTATCTTCTCTTGACAAACACAGTCCGATCCGTCCACATTACATTTGTAATAAGTTTTGGATTGTCACAACAAGTTATAACACAACTTCCTTAAAAGCTCGCTTTTTTTTGAACGAAAATCGTTCTTAGATCAACTCAAATCGACGATCTTCGCATTGTTTTACAAAAAATTGATAAAATTAGTAACTGTAGATCAAACGAAATTTTTAAAATTTTAATTTACTTAGAATTTATTTTCTTTATATTCGCAAATGAGAAGTAGCCATCTTGACAGATCTCAAAGATAAATCCTTTTTATAACAAAAATATAAAATCTTGCTGTCTCGTCAACTTCATATTATTGAATCAACTAAGCTCACTAGTATGTATAAAAGAAAAGTTACAAGTCTGTTTCCATATTACTAAATCAATAAATATAATGAAAAAAGTGATCAAAATCAGAGAAATGAATCATGTATGCAAAAATTTCAGTCAATCTCAAGTTTATTATGGTTATCCTCATAGAAAAATGCCAGATGAAAATTACCTGATATCTATATTTACCAAAGCCTTAAATACATTATATTGATAGCTCAACATTGGTCTCTTGATTAACTAAACATGATTTAGAGTATTAGCAAAAAAGCAAGTAAACTAACTATGCAATGCCTAAGCATTATCAATGATTTCAGATTAATTAGAATTATAAATAAAAAATGAGATGGAAACAGGACAGAGAATCATGAAAACTATTAACTAATAAGCATTTATCAATCGATCATTGAGATCAATGTCATATCTATCTTCATCGTGTCTACTGTGTAGACCATATTGACACTATTTATGTGTTATTTAACACGCTTGTTTCTGCTTTTAATATTATTCTGATAAGTTACTCACCATAACGAAATTAATAAAAAACAAATATATCAATAAAGTTTTATTTCGACTTGCTGTTGTCTAGGCTTGGTAGTGTGTGTGCGCCACTGTTTACTTGTTTTTGCGAAAGATTCTTTTTTACCTATGCAACAAGACAATTTTATACATTTCTTATTCGTTTTTTAACTTGCTTGATTTTTCCATTGTTTTCATTTTTTTTGTTACACACTTTATCACAAACGTATTTACACAAGATGTACACGTAGCAAATGAAATGATGTGCTTGAATGACTCTTGCATCGTGAATCTAACACACGAAATAACATCAAAACATATAACTCAAAAAATATCGAAAAACAAATGATAGAAGAAAGAACAAATTACTTTTTATTTTGTCACATGTAATACGTCATACTCATGTATCGATAAATAAAAAGCCTCAAAGTAAATAATTTTGATAGATTTTTTCATCCATAGTTTATATCCAGTTGTCATAATCGCATATCTTTCTCTGTATGTATTTATATTTTTTTTTCTTGAAAAATATCTGGTTTAATATGATATTAGAACATCTAAGGTTTAGAGTGCGTAAGAAAGAGAATATATAATTTAATTTATTTGATAAATACATAATTATTAATTAATTAACAGCTTAATGTGCCCAAGAAAATCTTTTGATATGAAGCTCATGAATTGTAAATAATTCAATATAAATAATATAATACCAGGGTCCAAAGTAATTTTCCATGTCCATCAGCCCAAGAATGATATTGAAGCTGATAGTTCTTCCATTTTTTCTAATAGACAATCTTAAATCACAAAAGAAACTTTGATTAAAGTATAGACGTAAATGTTCTATTCAGTTTTTCATCATCCAACAACACACAACACCCACATCCTTTATCAATTTAATAAATTCTATGTAAAACAAAACATTATAGGATAGTTTAGCAAAGCATACTTACAAGATTTATGTTACCGATGAGAGTAATATGCTAACAAATCATGTGTTCCTTTCGTTAAGTAATTGAATCAATGAAAGTGGTCATGCTAAGCTTTATTATAATTTTCGGACGTGAGATAACATTTTTTCATTGATTGGAAATCGAAAGCTAATTAGCTGATGTTTATTAAGAAGCGTGAAATGAATTACAATAATTATTTTTACTTTACTTTCTTTATTATACAGATCTATGCATATATTTTTCCTGTTTCTACCAAATCAAAGTATTTTTTTTCATTATTCTATGAACATTCTTCGAGTAATTGAAAAAAACTGATGCTAGTTCCACATGAGAATTCTTTTAGATTTCTTATTTCATTTTAGGATTTGATATAAGAGACACATGCTTATATGACATAAATACAAATGTTTTATAGTCTTCTTAAGAAAATGTTGGAGTCATTTTATTGAAATAAAATAGCTCTATAGACGTTATTAAGTATCGAATATACTATATGTGATATACGAAGATTTTATTCATTTTGTTTCACATTTAGCCTTGTAGAATCTGACTAGCACAGTGTTTGATTAATTGAGCAAGTTGGGACCACATAGCTCGTTCAAATATGACTCCTTTGGCAATCCACATGATTTGTCCAATATCTTGCGATGGGAGATGGCAAAATGAAAGCTCCGAATGATTAGGATCGGGTTGAAGATAACAGCTGGTATGTGAATCGAAACCCTGCTTTTTTATTTCCGAACAAGTTGCACTTGAATCGCTCTGCAAATAGGCCAGCATCTTTTTTTGAAGACAAACACGTACACTATGTTGCCATGCTTGATTAACAAAGTTATGTTTATGAGTTAAATATGCCATGCAGTACTTGTAGATAAATTTTTGCGCATATCCTTCACTACCACATGGAGAAACCTTTTCCAGATCACTGTAGAATTCGCAGCTGCTATTGCTTATGCTTGATTCCAGAAAAGTCAAGTCGTCTGAGGTCACTTTGGGTACGATGATACGCGAAAAACTTAACTGAATCGAGCCAAGAACAATGAAGACAAGGAAAAGATGCATCTTGCTGTTAAATGTGAAACGACGAGTGAGCGATGGAGTATTAATCTGATATTGCTGACGAAAAGGCACTTATATACAGAAACCTTAATCTTAAAAAAATATAGTGATGTGGCACTGACTTTTCAATTATTCGATAAGAAGGAGACTATGAGAACATATCGCATTTCAAGATGCAATTAAAACAATAATTTTGAGTATGATAAAGAGTAATCTGACGAAAGAATCAGAAACACTAAACGCAACAAGTTTTATTACACGGGATTTTTAGTGTATTAGTTCAGTACGAAACTGCTGGCACTTTATTCCGATGAGCTGGTTGTTAGTTTTCTGAAACATTCGATGGCGGTAACCATTGAAATAATTTACAAAAAGCCAAGTTTTTATCATAATTCAAATTGTACTTAGAAGAAACATGCAATCGTTAGGTATTGAATATACTATTGTGAAAATTGATATTAATCTGCTAGTGTAAGGCGGTCCATGTGCACGAATCAATCAATAAAGTCATAATCAAGATGAAAATAAAATTTTCTTTATCATAGGACTCGTCTTTTATATTCAATATGTGAAATTTTTTATCGATCTCTGTTGGTTAACTCTATTGCTACTAGGTACTAATTTTAAGAAAGAAGCAGAAGACTTATTAGCATATTTTACAGTATAAACTATTAAAAGACTATCCATACTTGAAGTTGATGTTCGTCATTGGTAGGCAAGTCAAATCATTATTTGATTGGAAGATTTTTGAATGAATTATCACTTGACTTGACTTGAAACTAGATCGTGTCAGAGACATCCAAATTAACTTAAAAAGCACATTCATATAGAGGAATTTTATGCGCTTTATTTTTTGTTAGTAAATTAAAACGTAAAAAAAAGTTTTTAATAAAACATAGTTAGGGTAGTGATCAGTTACAAGAACAAGTGAAATACAAATTATTGTTCAATTTAGTACAATGAATTACGATATTATGTTATGCAAATGTAAAATACAGAGAAAAAGAAAACTAGAGTTTCTAGCCGATGTCAATTTCAAAGTAGTTTTCCCTATGTGTACATTTTTATATTTTAGATCATTTAAATAAATAAAGGGTGTCCCATAAGTTCTGGGCCTCGACGAAAATTAGTTTCTATATAAATAAAGAGTGACCAATACCTAACTATATTTATATGAGCTTCGAGCCTTGAAG